TGTTTTTTGTTTTTTAGTTCATCAACCAATAATGAGTTGCACGTCAGGAAAATAAATAAATAATGAATGAGTGGAAGATTTAAAACTATAAATTATGTTCGCGTTGGAAATATATATAATTTTCAATTAATAATTGAACAACTTCAGATTTTTAATATATTGAATTTCTTGAAGAAAATTTATTAGATGTCGTCAGCAAAATGCATTTTTAGTCTTAAAATTTGAGTGAGGTGTCTAATTTAGCCATCGAGGCCTTATAATAGATACTTGTACTCATAGTATTAAATAAATATCCGTCAATATTTTTATTGATATTTTCCTGTATCTATGGATTCGACATCGACATGAGAGGTGTAAATCAACATCTCCATAATATTACAACAAAATCGATAAAATATGAAAAATATAAACAAAATGTAACTAATATAGACATATATTAAAATATTGATCATTTTAACTTATTTAGAAATTATGGTAGGCTTATTTGTTAATTTAAATATTTTCTATAAGTTTTTTTATTTTTATAATTTTTCTATTCATGTTTTTATAAAATTGAGATCTCAACATTTCCATGGACAACGACATTTAAAACCGTGATTCAAAAAGGTCTTTGAAGCTAATTGGCAGTTAGTCAATTAACCGATGATAAGGTCATTATTTACTGAGTGGATTGTGATTAACCTAGCATAATATATTACTTTTTAATCAAGGGTAGTTACACATATGTCAAAAATAATTAGTAAAATTAGTAAAATAGCAACCACATTTAGTATTTTCAAATATAACATCTTTTTAAGTGAACAATTTTAAAATAACAACTTTATCCAAATGATATACATCTATAATATATTTGTAACATATTTATAATCTATCTAACTACTGATATAGGTATGTGAATATACATCTAATATACTACTGATATGACTTGCAATATGTATATAATATATTACTGATGTGAGTGTCTGTACAATATGTATGTAATATATATATAGTATATTACTGATATGAGTGTCGATATAATATAGATATGAGTGAATAATTTTGTTATATTTAAAAGTTTAAAAATACGAGACATATTTGTTAATTGGATGCTTCAAGATATCCTAAATCAATTAGGGATTAGATCCCATTTAGGACATGGAACCATAGCCCCAAGGCAATGCTCAATCAATTAGTGGAATTCGGAATCCAAATTAGGATATTTTTATCAAAATGTTTGATAGTTAGGACTAATATGTTTTTAGACAGTAAATTGAACCCACGACTTTGTATTGGAGGTATATGTCATATTATGTTGATATTGACTAATAATAATAATTATTTAATTGTATAAATCTTTAATTTGATATATTTGAAACCAATCCTTTGCTTTTGAGAGAGGAAATCCTATATGGGTTCAGCCGTTCACAATTATTGGGAAGAAACCGGGCCACAATTGCTAACGTGACAAAGTTACGATAGAAAATATAAACAAAATTAAGGGTGTGTTTGAGAATGATGATAGAATAAGTGATTTAAAAGAAATATAAAGATAATTGATTTTCTAAAATAACTCTCTAAGGGTCAAAATCACTCTTCTTCCTATTGATCATATTCGACAAATTAAGAAATTGATCTTAATAAAGCTTAAAATCACTTTAATCACTTTAAATTGATTTTTAAGCATCACTTTACCATGATTTTGAAAAATCAATTATCCTTAAATCTCTTTTTTCAAAATCACTAATTCTACTACCCATCTCAAACATACCCTTAGTGATATTTTAAAAATCAATTTAAGGTGATTTTAAATTTTCCTAAAATATAGTTTATAATTTAACAAACATAATCGATGAAGGAGAAGTTAATGGCAAAAGTGATTTTCCCAAACACACCTTAGATCTCTTTTGTTAGAATCACTTATTCTAAAATCATTCTCAAACCGGCTTTAAGAAGATGTCGCASTCATGGGCAAAGTTTTAAATACCGACGTCGACGGAAATAATATCTATATCTCAATTTCATAGAAATGTCGTTGGAAATATCATAAAATGTCGATGTCGATAGATAATTTCTAAAAAAGTTAATAAAAATAAAAATTTGTAAAAAGTATTTAGATTAACCAATAAATATTTCCACCTTTCTAAATAAGTTAAAAGGATTAATATTAATATTTTGTTTATATTGATTATATTTTTTTGATGTTTTTTATATTTTATCGATTTTTTCAATACTATAGAAATATCGTCTATTATTTAACCTTCATGTTGATATCGAACATATGAACATATGAAAATGTCGCTCAATATTTAATACTCTGCATGAGAGAGTGTCGGGTAATATCCAAGTCTAAGATTTTCTTAAAAAATGATATTCAAGTGAAAGGTCGAATACGATGAGATGAAATTAGAAGTTTATAATAAAAATGAATAAATTGGGTTGAGTTTAACTAGAAAAAATTTAAATTTTCCTACACTTTTTAGTTGAACCATATAGATGAATATTGTTTACAGTGATCAGACAAGATAAGATTGGATATATTCCTTCCATTTTCCGTGGACATGAATTATGCAAGTAGTTAAAGAAATTCAAATCAGACTGATATGAAAATGCACTTTCATTACATATGCTTGCACTACAAAGATTAAACTTAAATAATAATACTTACACGATAAACAGTCCACTAAGGCAACTGTTATACACAACGGCTAGTAGAGCAGAGTATTGGATGCTGTCAATTACAAAAGGAAACTATTTTACACCGAGGCTAAATTATAGCCTATTTACTTAATTATGAAGAAACCGGCACAAATGGAAAGTCAAGGCCACGAAATTCCTTGCTGATGTGAATGCCGCAGTGGTCTCCTAAGGGTTGATTGGAGACATCTTGATGGCTATCAAATTTCACAAGTGGATCACATCCCAAAAAAATGTGTAAACAATGTGTATTTATTCTTGCCTTATTAAAAAAAAGAGAGGCCAAGAGGAAGAGATAAAATGCTTAAAAAATTTTAATTTCCAAAGTGAATAAGAAAATCACAAATTTGTTCAAAATAGTCACAGCTCTTCACATATAATATTGTGTAATTTTGAAGGAGGAGAAAAATTTTACATTCTAATTTTCTGTATGTATATTAAATTTTAAAAATTTAGTACATAATGAAAAAAAAAATTAAAGAAAACCTACAATATTTTAAATATTTTATTCATACTTTATAAATTACAACAAAGTACTGCATTTACTCTTGACAAATGACACATCTTTTTGTATAGATGGCATCCCAATCATGTAATAAAGATGCACGTTTTAGCATGAAGTTTTATAGCTTCAAAAAGAAAATAGATATTAATTTTTCACCTACTATTTTCTCAATTCATATAATTTTTGGCCCTAGCCCTAGACCTTGCACCCACTTGCACAGTCGTACCTCTCTCTTTTTATCCTACCCTTCAAGAAATTGATCAAATTTTTCATAATGGGTTGAATTCTTTTTTAGTAATGTTTTAAGGATAACATGGTATTAGATTATTGATTTCATATTTTTAAGCCAAAATAATTTAGGTCAATTATTTCAAAAGGAATCTACTGGGAAGTTTAAATATTCATACCAAATATTTATTATACCAAAAATAATAAAGTAAATTAATTTATAAGTTAGATGCGAAACAAATATTATTAATTTAAACATACAACTACCTATCCTTTCAAATAATTAATGGCAAACTAACGAAGCTCAATAAACCAAAATGTATACCCATGCGTAATTTTTAGAAAGATTAGACTTATGAATTAAGAGTAGCGAGTTGGCAATTAAAAGGATCTCTGCAGGACCACAAATCTACCACCCAACTCCTATCGGAAATTAATCATCTTCAAAGTTAGAGCTATTCAGGATAAAAAAATGTAACACTATGAGTTTATATTATTGATTCACTTCAAGTTCGAACCACGTGTTTTACAACTACATATGGAATCTTTCAGCATTCTACAAAGCTCTCTTAAGACACCATAGTAATGACTATTCAACTCTCAAGGAAACCACAACAATAATTGTCCGAACTCTCTTAGTGCACTCTAATTTTTAGTAAAAAAAGTAATTCTAGTCCTGCCAAAAGTACTCGCAAATATACTTTAAAGAAATATGAAACGAAAACGTTAACGAATCCGCTTAACCAAATAATTAGATTTTCTTTTTTGCTACAGACCAACTAATTAAATTAAAAGAGGTTAAAGGACATGTCTTTATCAATTACTTTGATACAATAAAAATATCTGAAGGTTCCATTTTCATCCTCAATTTATGAATTGTTGATAGTACTGAAGACTTCATTGTCAATCCAGCGAATTTCCAAGAGTACTATTTCAGTATTTTGTCATCTTTTATCATTTTTCACTCCCCTACACAAAGCACGTGGGAAGTTGGGAACAGACCTTGAATGGAACGCACTATTTCTTGTCGTCTCTGCTCGCTTTTCCGTTTTGTTTTTAGTTCAACCACGTTTGAATTAAGGTTCTATTTTTATGATCGTGATAAGTGTCTTGATGTCACCTATCAATATTTATGATGTTATATTTCAAAATTAATTGATAATGAGAGAAATAGTTCATATATATTATAAATTTGTGTAAAGTCACTTTTCTTTTCAACGAGATATCCTTTTCTTTTTAGCTCACAATGTAATTCTAATGTAACTCGTAGGATATCAAATACTTTGATAAGTGGTCACTATAGTTTGAACTTATTTCCTCTGAGTTCTTTACTATCTATATTGATCTTTATTGACCAACTAGACTAAATCATGAAGGTTAAAATGTTAGCAAACTTTCCTCTTAAATTCGTAGATATTTTGGGAAGAAATCAAATTTTTACTTTTGGAGTTAGCAAAAATGTATCCCTTTTTACATTAAATTTTAAATTTCATAAAATTAGACCTCAACTCAATTTCTACCTTAAATTATATTTAAGCGTTGCAATCTTCAGGTCGGTTCGGGTTTGTCCTGAAAACCTACCCAACCCAATTCAGTTAACCCCTAATTTAAATTGTGTAGTGCATTAGAAACCTTATCACAAAAATGTGTTGCATTTGGATCTTAATTTTTCATCTTCTTGCTCTTGCACTTGTGCTCCGGCCATGGCTGTACTTGAGGAACAGCCACAAGAATAAACTGCCTCCTGGTCCCAAAGGGTTTCCAATTCTGGGTTGCCTTCATTTGTTTGGAAAGAATCCACACAGAGATCTTCATCGCTTGTCTCAAACATATGGACCAATCATGCACATCAAACTTGGTCTTGTACACACCATTGTTGTCTCTTCCCCACGAGCTGCAGAGCTGTTTCTCAAAACCTACGATCTTGTTTTCGCCAATCGCCCACCAAGTGAGGTCTTCACCCACATAGCTTATGGTCTAAAGAACATTCTGTTTGCTCCATACGGCTCTTATTGGAGCAACATGCGCAAAATGTGCACTCTCGAGTTACTCAACAGCCACAAAGTCCAATCTTTCAAATCGATGAGAAGGGAAGAGGTTGGATTGTTGACTGAGGATCTTCGAGAGGCTGCAAAAACTGGTGTGGCTGTGGATCTTACTTCCAAGATCTTCTCTCTTAATTTAGACATGACTTGTCTGATGATCTTTGGAAGGAAATATGTAGGAAAAGAAGTTGATGATGAGAGGGGTTTTAAATGGGTGGTTCAAGAGGCCTTGCGATTGGGAGCAGCTCCTAACTTGGGGGATTTAATTCCTTGTATTGCACCATTTGATCTTCAAGGGCTGAACCGTCGAGCAAAATCTGTTGGCAAAGTGCTTGATGGGTTTCTAGAAAGCATTATAGATGAACACCTTCGTGAAGCCGATAACGAGACCAAAGATTTTGTAGATGTCATGTTGGACATCGTGGGCTCTCGAGAAACTGAGTATCAAATTGATCGATCTAACATCAAAGCCATAATCCTTGTAAGTAAACATTATCTATTTCTGTATTTATAATATTCGATGGGTTTTATAAAAAGAATCTATGCTCTGATAAACCTCCCTCATTTTAGGATATGGTTCTAGCGACAACTGACACTACGGCCACCACTATCGAATGGGCACTGTCTGAGCTTGTCAAACACCCACGTGTAATGAAGAAATTACAAGAAGAATTAGAAAAGGTTGTGGGATTGAGTGGGATGGTGGAAGAATCAGACTTGGATTACTTGAAATACTTGGACATGATAGTTAAAGAAATTCTCAGGTTGCATCCTCCAGGTCCGTTATTAGTTCCACATGAGTCGTCTGAAGATTGCACAATCGATAACTTCTATATTCCTAAAAAGTCACGTGTAATAGTGAATGCATGGGCAATTGGACGAGATCCAAGTGTTTGGATTGATGTAGAAAAGTTCTTTCCAGAGAGGTTTATTGGCAACCAAGTGGATATGAAAGGAAAACATTTTCAACTAATCCCATTCGGAGCTGGACGAAGAGGTTGTCCGGGAATGGAAATGGGTCTAACCATAGTTCATATGGTAATAGCTCAACTTGTGCACTGTTTTGATTGGAAGCTTCCAAATGATATGTTACCAATTGAATTAGATATGTCTGAAAAATCTGGTTTAACGTCTCCTAGAGCTCAAAATCTTATGGTGACTCCTATTTACCGTCTTTATAACTAATAGGTTGTGTGGATAAGTTGCTTAAAAGTTAAAAAGATATTAAGAATGGTACGAGGTTTGTCTTTGTGGACCCTAGCAAGATTTCTAGGTTGGAAAATTTGATATTTAGGACCGCTCCGCGTGTACTTTTATTTGGTTTACTATGTTTAAAGTATTAATTCTACTAGAGTAAAATGTTTATTTATGGGAGTAATTATATTCCGATGAAAATATGCATAGACACCATTAGATAATTTTCTTTTTCTTTTGAAACGAAGATAATTTTTAATTTGACGTCAGATCAAAGTAGAATTATATAATTTATTTTTTGTTTTCCTATTTCATCAACCATGAATGAGAACAACATGAGCATACGTCGAATAATTGACCTCTACTTTACTTTTTTATAGCGGAGGTTTAAAGTGTCATCCCTAATTTGTCACATTGAAAAATAATAATAATAATAAATGATTGAGTGGAAGATTTGAAACTATTAAATTACGTTCACGTTAGAAATATATAAAGTTTAATTAATAATTGAACAACTTAAGATTTTTGGGAAATTGTATTGTTTTTTAGTCACTCTTTTCAAAACCTATGCTTTCTAATCGTGGCTGACATCACTCTATATACCAAATGACTTTCCCTACCCTCTACTCTCTCCTCTCTTGCTCTCCCTCTCTTCTCGCTCTCTCTCGCACTGTCTCTCTCCCTCTCTTTCGCTCTCGCTCTCTCTCTTTCGCTCTCTTTCTCTCTCTCGTCTCTCTACTCTCTCCCCTCTCCTCTCCCTCCTCTCTCCTCTCGCTCTCTCATCTCTCTTCAGTTGAGGGGTAATGAAGTCATTTGATATCTAAGTGATCTCAGCAAATGTATGCCTAGAAAACTTATGTTTTTAAAAGGGTGATTACGAAACAAAAAAGACTGTGGAGAATGCCTATTCCGTCAAATTTTCTAAGATTTTCACTATATTGAATTTCTTGGATTCAATTTCTTCCAGATTTAATAGGTGACGAATAGTTTTACCATGTCTTAAGTTTCAGTTAAATGTCTATTTAGTCATCCTTAAAGTTTCAAAATCAAAATGATTAACACCGGTAGTTCCTCAAGTTTTAAAAATGGGTGTTGTACTAAATAATAAAAAAAGTTTAAAATGGTTCTAACAGTCCTTGAAACTAACTGAACGAAAAAATGATGTGAGCATTATTTGTTGAGTGGACTCTGATTACGTGGCAAAATATAATACTTTTATATTACTTTTTATTTATTTACATGTAACATGGAAAATGAAACGATTTCCTCCTTGCCAAAGCGAAGATAGCTTAGCAGTAATTAGCATATATCTCCAATTACAAGGTTGTAAGTTCGATCCCCCACTCATACATGTTGTACTAAAAAAAAACTTCTTTATTCGTCATTCTCCCTCCTCTCCTTCTCTACTACCACCCCCACCGCCAAAGCCCCATCCTCGTTCCAGATCTAAAACGTTTTGGGACTCTCCCTCCTTTCTTTCATACTACTTCTCTCCTTCTCCGATGAACCGGTGCAACCACTCGCTCGTCACAAATCGCCGCCACCACATTTCATTATAGATCTGAAACATTTGAACTATTTCGTTCAACATCTGAAATGAGTCATTTAAGATCTGGAGTGAGAGAGGGAAGGAGGGAGAGCAATAAGGAAAATTTTCTTTAGTACGTGTGGTGGAATTTGAACTCTCCACCTTTTGGTTAGAAATAGATGCACATTAACTTATGTCTAGGTTTTTTTAGTACAACAGGGGTGGAGGATCAAACTCACAAATCTCTTGGTTTGAGATATATGTCAATTACCGTTGAGCTATTCTCACTTTGACAACTTATGTGTAGGTTGTGCAAGAGGAAGAAGTTAATTCCATCACATATGCCAACAAAAAAGTAATATATTTTGTCACATAATCGCATCTCATTTAACAAATAATAGCCACGTAATCTTTTCATTAGTCAAACTAACCCTTAATTTATTTCAATGACTATTTAGAACCATCTTTAAAACTTCAAGAATTAAAAGTGTCATTTTAAAATCTCATTACTAAATAGATAGGTAACTCGTCCAACATTTCCAAGTATTGTGGGCAAATTCCATTTAACAAAATTGTTTCTTCTTCTTCTTTTTTTCTGATTTTTTCTAAAACATTACACTATGACGGTAGCGTGAATTCCTTGTGTTTCATAATTTTAAATAGGATAATAATTTGGTAGTTTTTATACATCAATATAATCCATGCAAAATAAAATAGAAGTTAATATTTTATACAATTAACTCAAGATAACGAGTGATACTTTTTTTTTCAGTACAACATGTAGAGGGTGAGGGATTGAACTTGCAATCTCTTGGTTGGAAATATATGTCAATTACCATTGAACTATACTCGTTTTGGCATAAGGAGTGAGGTTGACAATAGATAACTTAGAAAATCATGAAATTAAATGAAATGTGGTTGGCTTTGGCTAGTTGACTCGGGTTGATCGACTCAGGCTGGACAATTCGAGGTGGTTTGGCTTGGGAATGGTTGATCCCAAGATGGTCGACCTAGTCTGGTTAGCCTCGACTGGTTTATCCAAATTGGCCAATTAGGGTTGGTGATGGGGATGATCGTCTTGAGGTCGTCAGGTCCTTGCTGGTCGATCATAGATGGTCATTCTGGAGGGTCATTGGGCTCGTGCTTGTCACTTGTCGAGCTGGTTGGCCTGGCTTGGTCAAACTTGAGCTTGTGTCGGTCGGTTTGAGGTGGTCAACCACATGTTAGTCGGCTCGAGTGGATCCACCTAGTTTGGTCAGCCCAAAAATCATCTTAGACAGAAAACAAGATAACCCCAATAAGACAATGTAGAGAAAGAGGGGAAAAACTATAGAAAATCTTATCATTGAAAATAATGGCTGATTTTAAGAGGTGATTCACATCCATTCCCTCAGCAAAAATTATCTACCCACTAATATTCCAAAAATCAATTTAAAATAATTGTAGCTTTACTCAAAATCAATTTTATTTTTTTGTCAGGATCATTTTGAAAATTAAAATAATAAACTAGTTTTCTATTAATTCTTTTTAATAAAAAATCATTTGAAAATCACCCTCGAGAGGTTTGACCAGGAATCATTTAAAGTTATTTTGCTTTTCTAAAATCATTTATGAATCATGTTAAACATTATATTTTAAAATGAAAATAATTTTGACAAAAGTAAAAGTTTTCTCGTCATCCCAAAATCACTCACAAATATCTCCTAAAAATGAAACACGAAATGAAAATGGTATTTTTTTTTTTTTGCTACGGACCAAATAATTATATTAAAAGAGGTTAAAGGACGTGTCTTTATCAATTACTTTTGATAGAATAAAAATATCAGAAGATAACTTTGCATCCTCAATTTATGAATTATTGATAGTACTATTTGTAATCTTTTATAATTTTTCAGTTCCCTACACCAAGCACGTGGGATGTTGGGAGCAGGGCCTATAATAATGGAACCCACTATTTATGTTGTCTCTCTGCCTGCTTTTTCATTTTGTTTTCGAGTTCAACCACTCTCGAGACATGAGGATTTTTATGATTGTAATCAACATCTTTATCTATTAAATTATATTCAGATTTACTTGTAGTCTCTTTATTTGCTTGTTGCAACTCCAACAACAATAATTCAATAATCACTGCTCTAAACTCATTAAACATCCCCGTAGTGATACTTACACATGGTTCTCAATCAGATCTTTTAAGTGGCATCTACTAACTCAATTGTTATAGTGTCAAACAAGTCTCTTCAAGATTGCAGTGCCAATAGCTTATATGTTATTCCACCTAATTTTCCAAAATATTGAATGCAGACAATTAGACAAGATTCTAGCAGGTTGAATTTACAAATAAAAATTATTTCTTGGAGAGGTTATTTGGTATCTAGGTGAATGTTCTTTTTTTTTTAAATAAAAAAAAGATCGATCATTCATTCAAAAGGTAGGTAAGAAACATACAACAAAGGGAGGCTAAACGAAATCACTTCAATTTAAAGAAATGTGGAAATGCCATAATTACAAAAAGAAACTTTTATTTAGATGACCAAGAGAAAGCAATCGTTCTTATATCATCCCATAGAATGTAGGTCTATATTCATCTGAAAAGAGACATAACTAGGTGAATGTGATAGGTTAAAAAACTAATTTTATTTGGATCTCACTAAAGAGATTGTCCTGGAATACAAATGGGTCTATCAATGATTCGTTTAACAGTAGTTCTATTTGTGCATTACTTTGATTTGAAGCCTTCGATAGTATATTGTCAAAAAATTCTGTTTAGCTTGACCCAGAATTCGAGATCTTAGAGTTAATGTATTAACGACTAAGAAACGTTGATGTGGTAAGATATCAAAACATATTAACAGATGTATCGGAAATAATTTTCATCCAATTATTGGTAGTTTTTTTTTTTTTGAGAAATCAATTATTGATAGTATTAATTGAAGACCATCCATCAATCCAACTTTTCATGTTTGATACTACTCTATTTAGTTTACCATTGGTTCTTATTGACTATTAGACCAAACTATAATATTAAGATGTTTAACAAACTTTCCTCTTTAATTTGTAGATGTTAACAAACTTTCCTCATTATCTTCGGGTCAGTTCGAGATTATCCAACAACTGACCCAACCTGATCCAGTTGCCCCCTAATTTAAATTGTGTAGCGCTTTAGAAACCTCATCACAAAAATGGGTTTGATTTGGATCATAATTGTTCCTCTTCTTGCTCTTGCACTTCTCTTCCGACCATGGCTATTGAGGAACAGCCACAAGAAACTGCCTCCTGGTCCCAAAGGGTTTCCAATTCTGGGTTGCCTTCACTTGTTAGGAAAGCTTCCCCACAGAGATTTTCATCGTCTGTCTCAAAGATACGGACCAATCATGCACATGAAACTTGGTCTTGTTCACACCATTATCGTCTCTTCCCCTGAAGCTGCAGAGCTGTTCCTCAAAACCCATGACCTTGTTTTTGCCAGTCGCCCACACAGTGAGGTCATCAACTATATATTTCATGGTCAAAAGGACGTTCTATTTGCTCCATACGGCTCTTATTGGCGCAATATGCGCAAAACGTGCACTCTTGAGTTGCTTAGCAGCCACAAAATCAGTTCTTTCGAGTCAGTGAGAAGGGAAGAAGTTGGCTTATTGATTGAGGATCTTCGAGAGGCTGCAAAAAGTGGTGTGGCTGTGGATCTTACTTCCAAAATCTTCTCTCTTACTTTAGAAATGACCTGTTTGGTGATCTTTGGAAGAAAATATGAAGGGGAAGAAGTTCATGGGAGGAGTTTTAAATGGCTGCTGCGAGAGGCCTCGCGATTAGGAGCAGCTCCTAACTTGGCGGATTTCATTCCTTGTATTGCACCACTTGATCTTCAAGGGTTGAATCGTCGAGCAAAATTTGTTAATAAAGTACTTGATGGGTTTCTAGAGAGCATCATAGATGAACATCTTCGTGAATCTAAGAATCATACCAAGGATTTTGTAGATGCCATGTTGGACATTTTGGGCTCTCGAGGAACTGAGTATCAAATCAATCGATCCGACATCAAAGCCGTCATTTTTGTAAGTAAACATTTTGTTTCTGTATTCATGAATTATTTGATGGGTTTTCTGAGAGAAGCTTGATCTACCATCTAACTCATGATTTAATGATATCCTTTTTTCTTTTTCTATTTTTTTAACGGAAGAAAGAAGAAGAACACGAACACGATGGAGATCGAATTGACGTGAAAAACAAAAGAAGTGGAAAAAGAGAGAAAATGCACGGGAAAGAATATGAAATATGATGGGAAACGGGGAGGAGTACCTCGGGATAGAGGTGAGGTGAGAAAAGGAGGATTAATAAACCATTATAAAAAATAAAAAAAAAAAAGAATTTTGGGTGGTTTCGAGAAAACCAAAGAAGGGGCTAGAAGGTTGGTATTTTTACCCTTTTTTTCTAATATTCGGTGGGTATTTTGGTTTTTTCGACCAACCAACCAATAGGTTTTGTAAAATGCAAAACCGATACCGGCCGAACCATAATATAAACTGACCGACCAATGTCAGATCGTCATTCAATGCGTTTAATGGTTTGATCCCTCGTATAAATATTGAATGTGTTTTTTTTTTGTTGGTTTAGTAAATTAATGTGAATCATTTTTTCTTTTTTAACAACTATATGCACTAATAATTGTATACCTCATTTTTAGGACATGGTTCTGGGGGCAGTAGACACTTCGGCCACCACCATGGGATGGGTACTATTCGAGCTCATCAAACATCCACAAGTAATGAAGAAATTACAGGAAGAATTAGAAAATGTCGTGGGTTTGAATAGAAAGGTGGAAGAATCCGACTTGGGTCACATGAAATACTTGGACATGATAGTTAAAGAGACTCTCAGGTTGCATCCTCCCGGTCCAATATTAGCTCCACATGAGTCTCTTGAAGATTGCACAATCAATAACTTCTTTATTCCTAAAAGATCACGTATAATAGTGAATGCATGGGCAATTGCACGAGACCCAAGTGTCTGGACTAATGCAGAAAAATTCTTTCCTGAGAGGTTTATTGATAGCAAAGTGGACTTAAAAGGAAGAGATTTTCAACTAATTCCATTTGGAGCTGGTCGAAGAAGTTGTCCTGGAATACATATGGCTCTAATTGTAGTTCACTTAATAATAGCTCAACTTGTACATTGTTTTGATTGGAAACTTCCAGGTGGTATATTGCCTACTGAATTGGATATAACGGAAGAATTTGGCTTAACTTGTCCTAGAGTTCAAGATCTTATAGTTACTCCTATCTATCGCGGGCTGTCGAGTCGAACTCAAGGTGGGCTGCTTTGACGATGATTGCATGTGGCTGTTTCGTTGGTTGCCTTTCGAAGATGAGAAATAGTCTGGCATGCATAGTCGCGGCGTCTTCGTTAGTAATGATTTTGTTGGTAACTTGCTCAAGAGCTCATTAGGTTAAGAATGTTGTCATATCTTTGGTCTTTGTGGACACTAGTAAGATTTATAGGTTGGAGATTTTACATATGTTATAGGTAGGTGTTCCACATTTTGATGTACTGTGCTAGAAAAAAAGAAATCTAATAAAGCATAGTTCAATGTGTTAAAGGCACTTATATCCGACTTAAATGCCGTGAGTTCAAATCTTAAAAACAATTCCTGTTATAAAGTAGAAATATTTATTTATAGTATAATTATATAGTAAGGATGGATCAAATTAGAAATACAAAAAATAAATAACTGAACTGACTCGAGAGTTTTAAGCTTTCAGAATCATATGGGGGCAATTCTCCAACTGGAGTTCTTTCAGTTCAGATAATGAAAACCCTCTTATATGGTTTGAACCAATCCGATTCATCAAGCTTTTTTGAGATCTCTTCTGGAGCCATCTCATTCCAAAAAAAATGTAGATTCTTCCTTTGGTGTCTATTCCACAGAGGCCTTAATAGTGCAGATAAGCTTCAAGCTCACAGAGGCCTTAATAGTGCAGATAAGCTTCAAGCTCACTTTCCCTCCATAGCTGACAATCCTGACTGGTGTATCCTTTGCCATAACAGTGAAAGAATCATTAGACCATTTGTTCTTGCATTGCCCTTTGGTCTCATCTCCTTTCCATATTCGAAATACAAACTATTATTCCCAATTGCTTCGATGCTTTTATACTCGAGCATCTATCAAACCCTCTCAAGAGCCAACAAGACATTCTTTGGAGTAACACATTTGGCTCTCCGTGGAATTTATGGTTGGAACGCAATAATCGTATCTTTTCAGAGGCCGAAAGATCTCGCGCTTCTCTAGCTACTATTTCTCTCCATTAGAATGTATTTATTTAAGTATTTCTTTTTGTAGATATGTTTCTTACATACTCTTGATGATATGGTACCTTTTCATCAAAATAAAACATTCATCCTTCGGAAAAAAAAAATTTAACATTTAACCTTTACAAAAGATATATTATGTTATAACCAATTAAACTATGTTCCTCGGATCTAAATGGGAGGAAAATAAAAAGATTGATTGAAGTTTACAACATGGTTAAAATTTAAGTAATCAATCAATTTTTTTTTTTTTTTTGGAATGATTCAATCGCTATTATTTAAGAATTATATCAAATGACTTTATATGAAATGACATACATGAAAGACATGTTGCTTTGTCTCTTGCTCCTCAACTTGAAGGAAAGGAAACCAACAAAACTAAAAATAGGCGATTAAATAAGATAGATGTAGATAAAAATCTTCAATACAAACATCAAGAACAGACAAACGGGGTGAGATATATATGGATTAAAATAAGATACGTGTTAAATCAAACTTTTCAATACGAACATCAAGAACAAACGAATTAAGTTTTGTTAAAAAAATAAAATGCAAAACAAAATATTAACCAAAAGTCATATGGATCCCACATTCTCCATATTAGTTAATATCCAAATCAATTATAAATCACGAAACATCATCTAAAAAGGAACAACCAATAACTTCCCTATCAACTTCCCATCTTTTTTTTTTTTACAATCGGGAGTTAGGAACTTTGCTCCCTTATACTCGAGCACTTGTGTTAAAATAAATACAACACTAACTATAGTTGTAAGTTTCTACCGGTACTACAGAATAGTTTTCTTTAGATTTATCTGGAAGATTGTAAATAAATATCTAAGGAATAAGATCTAGAAATATCTTAGTTTTTCTTTAGGCTCTAAGAGATTCTAGAGAATTCTTTTGGATAAGAAGAATATGTGAGATCAAAAAGGGTCTATAAAAATCTGATCCTTCCCCAGGGATGTCCCCATAGGTGAGACAATTAAGGGAATAAAGTGAAGAGAGTGAATTAAGTGAAGTGAGTGAGAAAAGTGAGAAAGTGTGAGAGAGAATTTCGTAATAAAAATTACTTTCTTCGAGCGATTGTCTTTTTCCTTTTGTGCTAATTTATTCAACACCTACGCCTACGCCTGCTTCAAGACCCGGATCCGAGAGACATCAAAGTTTTTTTTTT